TATCAAATGAAAAATAAATTTCACCAAACATTTTCTTTTTTCATGCTCTTTCTTTTGATATGTCACAAGGGGTACTTTGCTATTAAAAAAATTAAGTTCCGGGGGGGTGAGGGGGGGAATATCTCACAAATTTATGAACCGATTTTCAATTTTTTTCATCAAACATTTTCTTTTTTCATGCTCTTTTATTTGATATGTCACAAGGGGTACCTTGCTATTTAAAAAAATTAAGTTGGGGGCAGGGGGTAAAGGGGGGGAATGTGAATGTAACGTTGAATTCAAAACAATTGGTCCCCCTACGTCAATAGATGATTCCCGCAAACTGCATATTTCTATCTATTGCGGTTTTTACATAAATAAAGATGCAAGTTTTTAAAAAAACACCCTGTATATAAACACATGTATAATATTTTGAGTGGATGGTGCTTTAGGCTTCTGGGAGCATCGAAATGAAAACGTAAATCGGTTTCGGGTCTATGTTTTACCATAAGACCTTCGGTAATATCTTATCTCCTAAATGGGATGTTCGCTAAAAGGTGATGGATTAAGTTTTACACTATAACATAATAACATCTAGGTTACTAAGCAAAAATTTCAACTTTTAAGGTGGTGTGAATAATCTTTCAACGTGTTTTTTATGCAAATCTATTAAGACCAATTTCAAATTGATATGTATTTTTCTAAGGTAGTTATTTAATTTATTTTTTTACATTTATTAAAAATTAAAACAATTGTATTTGTGTAAAACCTCACATTACATGTTAAAATGAAGTACTTAAACTAAAGCTATTTTTCTACAATTTATGTAGTATCTCTCTTTACAATTTAATCATCACAATAATTATTCTCAGACGACTCATTAACAATTTTATTATTCTTAGCAACTTGTCCATCTTTACTGATTTTGTCCAAGTTGGTGTTCAAGCAGGATTCCCCTTTACAAACCTAAAACCTTGCATATTGCAGAACAGGCAACACCAATCTTAAAGCACGAACAATGTGGTGCAAAAACATCTTTCATACATACTGACGTTTGCAACTTGTATCTTAAGTTCCTCAAACTTATTTTCAATCAATACAAGTACAGTTATCTTTCGTGGTTATGACGACCAGGACAGCACTAAGACATCAGAGCAGCATTGTCGGTACAAGCATTTTTGTCCTGAACAATGGGAACGAGGTTTATGGGGTAAAAATTGGGTTTTCTTATTCACTTTACCCTCAAAACACAAAGTTTCCCAATTTTTCTCTAGAACATTTTAAATAGCTTAAAAATAAATAATTTAGTATTAACGTGTTTTTGTATGGTTATTAGTTACGGCTAAAAATTCTAAAATTCTAAATTTAAAATTCCCATGTAATTCTTATGTAGAATAGTGTAAAATGATTTTGTTTGTTTGTTAATAGATATATTTTGATCAAACTTGTCAAATTTATTTTATTTTTTTACTAGGCTATTAATATTTTACTATAAACACACTTTATTAGCCTCCTTGTAGAATAAATGTTTAAATATCGTAAAAAGTAATAATATTTCGAAACACCCTGTATGGAGTGGTTTAATACACTTAAAACTAGTCCCAATCGATTTAAAATAACTAAAACCATCGAAAACCAAACTTCACTCGACCTTAAACGTAAAAACAAAATTATTCAGAAACAAGGGCCCTTCGGAACAAAAAGGGCCCCAAAAAGGGCCTTAGGACACCCAAAATTTTGGGGACTCATCGGATCCTCATTTCTCATATTATTAGTAACTCACAGGTGAAATTTCATGAATGTACAAATTTTGTTGTTTATAAAACCCTATTTTTAACCGACTTCCCCACTACCAACAAAAGGAGGAGGTTCTCAATTTGTTTGTGGCGATGTTTTTTTTTTTCTATGTATGTTCACCAATTTCTCCGTGATTCTTTTACCGATCAGTGTGGTCCCACCACCAAAATAACCAGGAGAGTTTCTATTTGGTACCTTATATATTATGTTTAGGTATAATATTTGTTTCGGTGAAAAATTCTGAAAAACTTAAATATTCAACATTTATTTTGTTTACATTTGTGCAGATTGTTTACATTTGTGCCGAGAATGCAATAAATAACATTCCTACAGCTGTTAGTTGAAACCATTTAAATGAAGCTACAGACAATTCTTCATGAAACAGTTGCTTCATATTGATCAATAAACTATTTCTTGCCATGGAGCCTAAATGAATTACATTGAGAAAAATTCATTTTGTTTTGGCTACTATAAAAAATGTATTTTAACGTTTGGCCTGATTTGTGTATACAGTAATTCATTTTTTATTAGTATTGAATATTCTGACTTACAAAAACATATATGTTTCAGTGAATAGCTGTATGATATTGACAAATAAAGGTGTATTGTGAAAACCAAAGCATTCGTAAAACAGGTCTAAATATAAATTAAATGCAATTATTCCTTACACTACCTAAGAAGTGTGACAGTGCATAATCGTCAATTGTCTTAAAAGTGTTAAATGTTTTAATTACTAAACATGCATTTGCAGATGTGGAATGTTTATTGATATTCTCTACCCAGTTACTATATCATATCAATACTATTATGCCTGCTTCGGAAAGTCCTAGAGGAAGATGATTTGCAATTTCGACTAGGCTATATCTTGATCAAACAAAACCACCTACATGGCTTGCACCACTTTTAGCTGAACCAATCTTTCATATACATATTTCATTTGCAGATGTGGAATGTTTATTAATATTTTCTACCCAGTTACTATAACATATCAATACTATCATGCCTGCTTCGGAAAGTCCTAGAGGAAGATGATTTGCAATTTTTACTAGGCTATATCTTGATCAAACAAAACCCCCTACATGACTTACACCACTTTTAGCTGAACCAATCTTTCATATAATATTTTCCAAAGGTACTATACGTGTTAACGACCAATTTTCCACTTTTGAAAGATTTTTTAGTGCTGGTGGCTGAGGAATAACTTTCATATTGTTCCAAAAGGCTTGAGACGTTACTGTATTTCTTTTTATAATGTACACCGATTGCAAGAAACGATGATGTCTGACATTTCAATGTATCTAGAAAAGACAATTAGTTTTTCATTAGGCCTAATGTAATGGACAACTCTTTCTTTCTTAAGGAATATCTAAAAATGTTTATTTTCATACCCATTGATTATGTAACCTGAACAGGTGACTCAAGCAGTTTTAAAATAATAATTGTTCTGGGGAACTTTTGATTGTTTCAAACAGTTTTGCTTATCAAAAAACCTCAAGTAATTAATACATAAAAAATTATACAGTCACTAAAAATCATGAAATAATTTATTTTGTAAAACAATACAACCGACTTCAAACGCTCTAAAAAGAATGAAATAATTTAAATAAAGTAAACTTTTGTATTAGGCAAGCTCACGTATTTCAAGTCGGCGCGGCTCAAACTGCAAATATGATGGAAATTAAATGTTGTGTGTGTATTTTGAAAATCAATAAATTGTAGCTGGATAACATAAATATATAAAACACATACTGAACTGTTTTGTTTATATATTAAAGGAAATATTTTCTTGTATTTTTTGTTTACTTCAGAATAAATGCATTATGAAAATAACGCACACAAATGTTCTATATGAATAGGAAAATAATTTAGTTTGATATTATGATAGGAAAAAAAGCTAGTTTAGTATTAAAACGTTACTTTTCCAAGTTAGAAACATTTAAATGCGTTATAATCTTTTTAAAGATCCTCGTTAATACCACTATAATGCCGATCTCTGGTTACGGTAATAAAATAACACTTAACGCATAACTATGAAAAAGACATGCAGATTAACACCTTTAGTTATAGTCACCTGCAGTATGGACACCCTCTTTCAATTTTGTATCAAAAATCACCATAGAGCCGCGCCGACTTAAAATACGTGAGCTTGCCTAATACAAAAGTTTACTTTATTGAAATTATTTCATTCTTTTTAGAGCGTTTGAAGTCGGTTGTATTTTTTTACAAAAATAAATTATACCTGTACTAATAAGCTATTACCGTAGTACTCATGGTAAGACCTGGACCCGGGACCGATTTACTTTTTCGTTTTGAGGTCCCTAGAGACCAAAAACACCATCCGTTCAAATTCATATATATATATATATATATATGTATATATATATATATATATATATATTTATATATCTATTTATATATCTATTTATATATACATATATTTATATATGTGTCCGTTTGCGCGATAACTTGAGCAAAAATCATCCGATTTTGATGAAATTTGGTACAAACGTGTAAACCTACGTTTATTTGAACAAGTTCGCGAACCAGCATGATCGGACTATGGGAACAGGGGTTTATGGGGGGTTTTATGGGGCAATAATTAGTTTTTCCCATTTTTTCCCCTTAAAACTTAAAATTTAGCATTTTCTTTCCAAACCATTTTGTAGAGCTTAAAAAAACAAATAATTTAGTATATTGAAGCGTTATTATGCGCCTAATGATTACTGAGAAAATTCCAAAAAACTGTAAATTTAAAATTCCCATGTTATTCTTATGGAGAATAAGTAAACTGTTGCAGTTTGCTTGTTTATGATCATATTTTAATAAAATTTGGATAATGCATTCATTTCATACTAAGCTATTAACATTTTACAAAAACACCTTTTTACCCTCCCTGTTGCAGCAAACCTAAGTACTCGTTAAACTAATGATATTTAAATAGGGAATAAATGTGATATTTTTAAGGAGGCATTTTAGTGTAAATCCAATCAGGCAAATGGAAATTCGCTTAGTCTGCAGGTTTGCTGCGGCGGGGGTATTATTTATTTACATTCACCTCCAACAATTTTGTTGTTTACTTTAGGCAAAGAGAAAAATTTTTTCCTATAAACTCTTTCATTCATAAGGTTATCATTAATAAGGCATTTTAAAATTATTTGCAATTGTGTTCTGAAATGACATTTAATTTATAATTATTGTATTAACAACCTAAAACCAATTTTCAGATCAAAGATTAGTTGAGGACGACTCAAGCTTTGAAGAAAAGAAATTTGAAGTTAAAAGATACTTTAAAAAACATTCCAAAACGTCAGTAATACAATACATCATCCTTGAATGCTACAAAATTAGTGATCCAAAATCATCAAGAGGAGTTACAACTTTCTTCGGGGTAATTAAAACCACGCAAGGACTTATTTTGGCAAAAGTAAAAGCCTTAAACTGTTTTGATGATTCAAATATATTTAAAATCGTTTTGAGTTATGTTATGATAAAGAAAGGTGATGGAAGCGGAGCGTCTCTTGATCTGGACTTCACAACCCCACCAGAACTTGGCCAAGAGTCTTGGTTCTACGGAAGTGCAACTGCAGATACTGAAGTTATTTTGTTCATGGAAAAGTCAAAAAGTCCTCATTATAATTTATGGAGCATGGTACGTAAGTTACAATAGTACAATAATGGGTTTAAAAACAAACAATAAAAGATTATACGTTACTCCACCTAAAGTGACGGGTACAATTTGATCTCGTCAATATAAGTTTACATTGAGCATTCAAACCCTTTTGCTTGTATATTATATTTGTAAATTAATTGTTTGAGTTCAATAAATTTCATATAATCTTGCCACAATAAATCATACTAGCAATATACATCACTATCCCAAAGGAAAGATAAGTTAACAGTGGCTATGCAAACTTCACACAACTATGATGATCTGGGTTAGTACCCAGGCTCAGGCTATTTAAAACTCATTCTGAATTAATCCTTAAACCGTCTCAAGAAATTTTTAGATTCGTGCCATATTACTAATAATAACATAATAATAACACATTTGTTGATTATGTACATAATATTAAGAACCAAGTATAGTAGCTACACAGCAACACTGTAGACTAGGCGGACCTTTATTTTCCTGGTTGGACTGTCACTAAAATGCTTCCTTTAGAATGCCACATTTATATTTTACTATTAATAGATGAAACCCGTCGAAATCGATTGTTATCTTGAGGTTTCACACAAATTCATAAAACTACGTTAGATATAGTGTAGTTATTAAAATCTTATTTGGATGGTATTTGGACCGTATCAGTGAATCGCCCTTTTTGGTCATAAGCAATACAGAATTTTTATCAGCGGGAGGCAGCTGTATTCCGAATCTTATGTAGGCCTATGTAGTAAATTCCCGTATAAAGAATGGTGGGATCTGATTTCAAGGAGATTAAACCTTGTATCAAGTCATCTTCTGTTGAAAAGGTTGTACCAGGAAGGAAGGTCAATCACTCTTGTGCTAAATATCCTCACAGTTGAAGTGCAGTGTTTTACAAATATCACATTCGAGAGCAGTGAGCCATTGTCGAAATAGGTCACTATAAATCAACTGTCAAGATCATAGCATCTACCTCAGATTTCTCTACAAAAACAAACTTCTAATTGACATCATAAAAATAAACTTAGTTGCTATTACAATTTCTCTCCTCTACCAAAACCATGGATCTTGAACGATAGAACTTGAACATGGCTCACTTCCTCAACGTACTCCTTTACACTTGCATGGTTTTTATTTTATGACACAATATTCTCCCGAAAAAACTATATTATTCCGATTATAGAAAACATGTATGCTAATAATCTCACGAAAGCTCTTGCGTTTATTTTATGTAATAATAAATCATATTATTGAAATTAGACCAAAAAGGCGAGTACCAAACCCCTATAATAAATATACGCAAGCCCTATAAGGAATAATGATCTATTCCTTTAATATTCATATGTTCATAATTTTAGGCCTATTACATTTTCTAAATGCATTAAAGCATAGATTTTTTAACAATCAAATTTAAATCGTATCTTAATTTTTTCTGTTTTAATTTATTAAAAACGTATCATGCAGGGGAAAATCAATTTTAAAACCACAAAATAATTAAAATTCATGATTTAGCCCCTGAACTGTTTATTAGACTAATATGATCAGGTACATACCTTTACGTCAACAGTTCCATTTTGTAGTGAATAACTCACAACATGTTTCGCCTATTCAGGCATCGTCAGGTGATATCCTAGCAAGAATGCTTTGTCTTCATCCATGATGGAGTCGTCAAGAAACATTTAAATAAATACACAAACACGCACGAAAACATTTAACAAATAGAGTAGGCCTACTACTAGGAGTACGCTCCGAAGTCACGTATGAGAATGAACGAAGACCATTTCATACATAAAAAAATGTTATTTAACAGTAGGCCTATCCACATTCATATCAGTTGATCAGCTGCTCAAGCAGTTTGAACTTCATTAAGGCACTAACACCAAATCCATAATACTTTTTCACCAAAACATTTTCTTTACTGTACTTTGGACTTGCGTCATTAAAGCAGGACCAGGAATCAGGGAGTTGGTATATGAAAGGGACCTTGGTCCAAGGTCATTAGGCAGGTTTGAGAAAATTCACTAAGGAACTATGTATAATCACTGAATGTATTCCGATGTATTTAAAAGCAGCAATATTGCTCGAAAATGCTAAATAATATTAGGTTTGTCAATCTATAGAGACTCCAACAATTACTTTGTGATGTTTCATTGCTCTACAACATTCAGAAATAAATTATAACAGTGAGAACCATTATACATTGAGGGTAAGGACATCCCTTACATGACCCATAAGAATTATAAACATTTCAAAATACAAGAATTTAAACCTTTTAGGTGTTGCATGGGAGGAAACACTATTTTTGAACCATCAGATACTGCTGAATTTGTTGTGTGAATGATCAAACAAATGTTTACTCGAAACAGTTTTAAAACTTTATATATTTGGATTCACATTTTAATACATTTACCTACGACCGTTTATTAAAATAGCCGTTTCAGTTCAGTTGTTAGAATTTAAAAGTTTCTCATAACATCATAGTTTTATCATAACACAGGTAACGGACCAATGAGGTTCAAGTCATGGTGGAAGGAAAATACATAGGTGTGCTATTCCCGTCATATTCTGACGTCACCCAGATTGCAAACGAAAAATCACCTGATTGTACAGTATTGCCATATTTAAATATATATATATTTGTTTTTGATTTGATTGTTATTGTTTATATATTTTTGTTCTAAATGGTGAAATGGTGTTTGCAATCTTGGTGACTGTGACTTCAACAGCAAATTACGGGAATAGCACACCTTTGTCGGTCGCGGTACGGAGGCAGAGATCTGCCTCCGTACCGCGACCGGTAATAGTAGGCCTACTCTATTTGTTAAATGTTTTCGTGCGTGTTTGTGTATTTATTTAAATGTTTCTTGACGACTCCATCATGGATGAAGACAAAGCATTCTTGCTAGGATATCACCTGACGATGCCTGAATAGGCGAAACATGTTGTGAGTTATTCACTACAAAATGGAACTGTTGACGTAAAGGTATGTACCTGATCATATTAGTCACAAAATAATGTCACCATTTCACTTTTACAGATTTAAAAAATGTTTATATCACGTCGTGACCTTTACAATACGAACAACCATTATTAACAGCTGTGTCATAAAAACATTTTGTAAGCTTATCCATCTGGGGAAGGACCTTTAAAGGCCTCTAGGCCATAGCCCCAAGGGACCTCGTTACCTCGGTACCTCGTACAAGATGTTACCTCGTTTCTCTTTTGATGGCTCATCTACAGACAAAGACCTTTCTTTAGACACCCCTACCAAATTCCTACGCGCAGCCGTTCTCTTAAAGCTGTGACAAAACCTCTGTTTCTTATCGTCCATAGAATAACAACATAGGAATGGAATTTTAAAGGCCACTGGGGCAGAGCCCAAAAGTAATTGACCTCTTTCTCTTTTGAGGGCTTATCTACACACCAAGACCTTTCTTAAGACACCTCTACCGAGTTTCTACGCCCAGTCGTTCTCTGAAATTAGTGGAGACAAAGAAAAACAGTTTCAAATCATTACATTGATAACATTAGGTTTAGTAAGTGCTCTTTGTAGAGAACTTAGTTTCGCCTGTATATCGGTGTACCTCTGAGCAATCAAGCAAAACTCGTCAGCAAAGTCAAGGTCCTCCAGCCACTCCCTCAGTCCCCACTGCAGCACTTCCCGCCTTCTATTATTTGTTACTTTCCTCATAACTGAGTCGAGTGCCAAAAGGAACAGTATTGGTGATAAGATGCAGCCCTGGCGAACACTTATTTTAACTAGGATTGCTGCAGTCAACTTTCCCTGCTGCGAAACCTGACACTGGAAACCATTGAACATGGCTTTGATAATATTTATGATTTAAGGGGGCCATATTCTTGTAGAACATGCCACAGCACCTGGTGTTTCAATGCGTCAAAGGCCTTCTCGAAATCGACAAATGCCAGGCAGAGAGTACTTTGAAATTCTTTGCTCTGTTCTAGTAGGACTCAGAGAGTACTAATAAAATCCACACAACTTCTTGCTTCCTGAAAACCTACCTTTTATTTCCTTAGTTTCAGTTCAATGGATCCTTTTATCCGGTTTAGGATTATTCTGACCAGCATTTTGCTTAGGACAGACAAAAGGGTAACACCTCTCCGATTGTTACAGATTGTTACATCCCCTTTCTTTGGTATTTTAACAACTATGTCCTTCTTCCATTCCTTTGGTGTTCTCCCCTCTTGCCAAGGTAGTGGATGAAGTAGGTCCGTGGCGACATCGCCAGATTTTAGGATCTCGGCCGCAATATTGTCTAAACCAGGGGCTTTGCCATTTCTCATGCTTTTGACCGAATATTGTATTAATATTACTGAATACTGAGTAGCAATATTCATTTATTCTTCAAGCTTATGTTTGTTTCTTTTTACCTTTTCAGATTCGCGATGGCGATGATACATGTCCTACAATTCGTAAGTGAATGAACTACAAATGAATTACATTTAAGTTTAACTCTAATAATCCTAAATATATAGGAATATTACTTCTTTTAAAACCATATCAACGCATCACAATGTTCAATATCAAGATTTAAAGGTTTTACCAATTTAAGTAGGAAATGACTAGAACCATTGCCAGATCACGGCACATCAATGATCACTATTTAAATGCATATTATACTAATAATTATTTTAATAAATAAAATTTAAATTAAATTAACGTATACAAAATTTAATAAAAAATTAATAATTTTAAGATGCAAATTGTATATATTTTTCTAAGAGTCAGTATTCTCGAGCTACCTAACATTCTAGCAAAATGTGAGTATAAGCATAGACAAAAAGAATTCTTTTTGTCTATGGCATAAGCCTATTTTGCGTGCTGTGTTTGCATGTTTTTTCCTTAGGTTAAGTCGTGTATAGTGTTTGTATAAATTGACGATGCACATTGCATTTGTACAATGCCTAAAGGAAAATAAATCGAATTTCATTTCACTGCTATTTAAATAACTACATTCATTATTATTATTATCATTGTTGTATAATATTTAGTATAAGATTCTTACCTCTGTTTTAAAAGTCTGTTTAAAATTGTTAGTTCTATTTAATTTCTTACTGTATTTAATTTTGAATAAGGTGCTGAAAGTTAATCGTGTTTGTTCCTCGGTAATGAATGCTAAAATGTTTCTGTATAGTCGCTTAGTTATATTTACCACTGTGTATTATATCCCAAGTATGAGTGTACGCTTTAAAATTAGTAAATAGAACAACTATGAAATCTAGTTTCGTAGAACATCAGATCAAAACACGACATGAGTACAATATATAAATGAGCATTTAAAACTGTAGACTGTAGGGTATGGAAAAAAATTAATGTACCGGTACACCCCAATTTTTATTAGGACAATAGCTTTTATAATTAAAAAAGCGAACAATATAAAAAATAGCTACTTCCCTATAGGGAAATTCGCTAATACACCAAGGCATAAAAATGATTATGTAATTACACGTTAAGTAAGTTTAAACAGTCAAAAGCATTACTGTATCTTTCCACAATATTGCCCCTTGCCTTGATAGGTTTTGGTTTTGTTTTAAAATTGTAAAACTCAGTATAGTTTGAAAAACAAGCATTTTTTGCGTCTACAGTAAACATTAGGGTGCAAATCACTCTTATACTCCTGAAAACATAGGCTACCTCAAAACCTTTAACTTTATAACTTCTCTGCATTCACTACAATAATTATAATGATTGCTTTCGTATAACTCCATCTTCGGTACAAATACATGTTTTTGTGTGTTTTTATTATAGACTTGATTGTTTGTGAGGGGAGGACTCATGGTCCAAGCACGTCAACCGAAGCTTATTGTGCATTATCATAGACTTAAGAAAAGCTATGTTTTCATTGACCAAATAATATGCATTTTTGTGAGAATACACCAGGTTCATAAATAAACTATCTAACAGCAATATCTAATAATAAGTCTCAATTGAATTTCTAGTAATAATTTGGAAATTTAGGTAATCAATGTTTGTTTATTTGCAGATTATACAAATGAACGAGATATTGGAACTCTCCTACCAGAACATGAATTGGTTGCAGAATATGAATTTACGCCTGATCCAAACAGTGGCCTCACTAAAAAGCTTACACTAAAATGCTACGAAAAGTCCATTATGAGACCTAATGAAAAAGATCAAACGGAGCGTCAGTTTTATTTGCAAGTTCTTAAAGAAGACACGTCCTCCTTAGGCATCATACAGAATGTTCGTCGATGCGATTCTCTAAGCACACTTCGTGATTTTAACGTGAAAGAACACAATGAACACGACGTTAAATTGATTATTTTTACGGTCAGAATCACATGTCCTGCTACATTCTACTCTTTGATATCTTGTGAAAATTGTGAGGTGAAAAACTGGAAATATTACGATTGGGGAAATTCCTACAGTAAAAGCGATCAATGGAAAATGGTACGAAATATTACTCGAATCAAGTGGTGGCGAAGATTCCAAATAAGTATCAGGGTGTCCCACAAAGACGTTTAAATTGTGGATTTAATATGAATTGACAATTTATGCGCTGAAAGATTTAAAACAAGAATAAAAACATGTTCTTAGCAAAAAATAGTTTCCTAACATATTCAGAAGCAAAATAGTCGCATATTGCAAGTTAATTATCTATATTATTGAAAGAATTTGTTGGATTTTTGTATTCAGCAAATCGACCCCTGAATATTTATTTTTATAGGCATAATGGGTATCAATTTTAAGTTCTTATCCTCTAGATGTGCCTTTTGCGGGTTTGGATGATATCTCGTGAAAGCTTTTCGTCCTATAGGCTTTTAAAATTTCAGAATTTTTGCTGGATTCTGTTGTCAATCATCTGAACTTTTTCAAGTTTAAATTTGGTTATATCAAAACAGATAGCCATAATACAATTTTGTTTACATCCATACGAAAATGGGACTATCGTTACAGTTGGTGATGTTTTGGTGAATTCAAGTAAAATATTCTAATGTCATTTGTATAAAACGTAAAGAAGAAAATGACTTAAGTTAGATTCTGTATTTTCGTAATATGTTTCATTAGTATTTGAAAAAAACTAATTACAAAGTTTTAAGGGTTTGCTTTGAAAAATTACAAGTCAGGGATAAGTCAATCATTAGTCTATCACGTAAAAATATATGATATTGAACTTAACTCAGAGCAATAAAAAATAGCAAATTAATTCAAATATATCACGGATTTTTAAGTCACGAAGTGAGTGACGCTGGCTGCTAGTACTAATTACATTAACTTGTTACCTGGTTCGTTTAGTGGGTTACAGCTTTATCACTTATTTGTCACTTATTATCGTCACGTATGCTGAACGGCTGTTTGATTGAGGAATATTACTTTTGGTAATGTTACCGAAGAAATCAGACGATTTCACGGTTTTGTATACATCACTTTTTGTGTAACATCAAAAGTTATTCCTAGAAATTGAGTTTCCATAAAAGGGTTTTAAAACTACATAACAGTAAACATATCAGGTAATAGCTGAAGAAAGTAGTAATTGGGAAACAAATTTAAAAAAATTTTCACCACACCACCCTTTCAAAATATTGTGCTAAATTGGGCAGGTAATTTAAAATCCAAGTTTAAACCTCTTCTTGGGGCACCCTGGATGTATAGTTGAGATTTATATTTATGTTTCTCATATGGTAAAAAAAATACCATATGGGAATACTATGGCTCAGACTAATTCCGATTTCCATTTATCTGTACTGTTATAATTGAAAAGATTAGAAATAAAATGTTAAAATATACTTAATTTGTATAGGAGTTTTATTTACATATTAAAATATCTCCTCTGAAAAACAAAGTTCTAAATTTCACTCTTGAAAATGGAATGAATACTATGTATGATAACCGACAGATATCAATAGCTACTAAATAATGTCAAGGTAGTTTTTTTTCTAGCTGTAAAAAATCCATGCTTCAAACTTGTAATTTACGTTTAAACAGTAAATTACATAGTTATGTATCAAAGCTCATAACATTCCGTACATTGTTCTATTGGAAAAATTATTTAACAGTCGAAGCAGATTTCATGTGCTCTTATAATCTGTTTTCATGGGTGTTTTCTGTACTTGTTTTTCGATGTACAGCCGAGAAATCAAACTGGAATAGTTAGAATAGCGATTTCATAGGCTATATAAATAGTTGTGAGCAGAATGGATGTATAGTGATGTAAAATATTTCCTGTGTGTGCAAAATAATTTATAAGTCTATAAGAGTGGGTAAAAGATTAGGCATTTCGTAACTGGGCTAAGTTGGCCATTAGTCAATCATCAATAGTTTATTTTATTTGGTGATGTTCCTGGCTGAAGTATCACCTAGTTTTTACCATTAACATGACTTACGTCATTTATACCACACTCCTTTGCTTATGTATTGCTTATATATTGACTTGACGAAGCAAGCTCTTAGTACTCCATTCAAAAAATGTAGACGGTTTGAGGGGCAGCGATTCCATCCCCTCCACTCCAACGTTGAAACTACAACCGACAGCTGATCAGATGATACGAGAGATTAAGCTAAAAAGTAGTGGGTTTTTCCAGGAAACCTTCCCCTGAAACCACCGACATTTGTGAATGGACTTTGGAGAGTCCGGCTTCAACGGTTAACGATAGTAACAGAATCTACTTATGACTTGTAAAAACTCTATTTTTTTATTTTTTCAGCTACCCACCGCATTTTGTAAAGAATTCCAAGGTGAGTATGACTTATAAGTTTTGCTGAAATTATTTTCGTCGTATGCTATTTATAGAATAACTAGCTGTTTGCCCGTTCTACGTACGGGAATCTAGTAGTAAGTTAAAACCTTATATTCAGAACAGGAGTTGGTTTGCATATTTAGTGTGCATTTTTCCAGATATGATGGCAAAACTATAACTGTTTAGGAATACATATAAACCTTCTCAAATACAATATCTGACAGTTTCAAAGCCATAACGAATGCTTTGCAATTAAATGTCACCCGATCGTGTTAGTCCATATTTTATATCAAACGATGAAAATAATTGCTTTACAGTATAGGTCTATGAGGCATAGCCCTAAGGTAGGCCTGTAATTTAAAGTTACTTTTCACACTGGTTAAAAGTAGTTAAAACACTACCTCAACCTCACTACTGCCCACTTTATTCGGGTCGAAATTGTTATTAACAATGGTGCTCTTGTCTTTTCCACGAAAAATAAGGACTTAATTGCGTTACCAACAGACATACACACACAAATACAGAATTGAGTCCAGACAGAAAACGCTAAAAATTATACAGTAATACATCAATTAAATTTAATAAGCAATAAGGGGCAGTGTTTATAAATAAATAGTGAAAATGAAAATAGTGATGTGTTTTTATGTAAAAATTATTCTTACTGCTACCACCGGTTCTAAGGAAAAGTAGCAGTACCAAAAACCAACTTTTACATTTGAGAAAAGAACTGTAGTATTTACGACTAATTCAAACTGTCCTTCTAATCAAACTGTATTATAGGTGCTAATTAATCTGTTGGCAAATATATAAATAAATAAATACACAGGCCACAAAACATGTAACATGTAACATTAACAACGTAAAGCTTTAAAAACTTACTATGGTTTGCTAAAAAAACTTTCACTTGATGTGGTGCAGTACCGAAGTTATTAATCTCCTTTGGTTTTAATTTTTTTTTTTTAGTTTTCGAAAATCAAAGTTATTTCCCATTTATAGCATTATTTGTAAGCAGCTTTTAATGTTAACATATTAATGGCAGTTTGAAGAAACCACCTTTATCCAAACAAAGGTTTCTCATTTAAAAGACTACGTAATCTCTAAACGATAATCGGTAGGTACATATATTTAGCATACATTCGGAGGAAATGTGACAAAAAACGCACAAATCTGGGGTTTTGTACTTTTGTAGTTTTATTTCCTAAGTAGGAAACGTACCGATATCGTTGTCGAAATGTAAGTAAGTAGAAACCAAAAGTGACACATTGGAAAAGCGAGTTTAGCCTACATCTGTTAAGTTAAACCTCCGTTACGGTACGATCACAGCGAAATCAGAAAGATCTTCCAAGATCGCAGCAACATCCACGATCACCCACTGCAGTTGTAATTTTTTACTTTGCACTTTACACAACTGTCCTTGAAGCGCCGTCAATGAGTGGAAACCTTTGTAAGCTACGGTATTGGTGCCGATGATTAAAAAAAAATAAGTTTCCTTGCACTAATACAACACTGATTCACGGTATTTTCCCCGGTTATCAAAACTCAAGAACAATCGTTGCACTTGCGATTAATTAAACCGGTTAAGTAAGGCACAACGTTTTTAATCTCACTTGGTTTGGATGTGCTGACTAAACTTGATCGGAAATGGTTGCGGTATTTGTAAACAACTTTTAATGTAAACATATCAGTGACAGCTAGAAGTGAGAACTAATCCAAACAGCTGATCGTTATTTCATAAAATGTAATAGTAAACATTGGGAGAAAATTTGACAAAAATCGAACAAAATTGTGTTTTTGGTGGTTCGTTATTTTGTTTTCAAAGAAGCGAGGCCATGTTTTTATAGCCAAAGACACTCTCGCCAATCCAGTAAATACAGAAAAACGATTAGAACCTTGATCGTTACTCTAGTTTTCTAGGAGTAGGCCGCGTAAAATGACATTTTGGCGTTACAGACGGAGTCACAGAATGGACAAACAAACAGACAAACAGACATACAGACAGAAATTGAGATAAGACTCGTTTCGGCTTTCTTAGGCTATGAAACGTAAAAGTAACCAAAAACTGCATGATTCTAAGCAATGTACAGACAAAACTGTAATTTTATTTATATAGATTAATTATTAAAACTCATTTTAAGTAAACTCGATCAAAACTATTTATTTACAAAAACCAACCAATAATGTAAACAAACCAAATAGCAGATGATTCATAACTTTATAACTCAGCTGATAACAATAATCCTACATTTCTCCCCACCCAATTTAGGCTGAGTTTCCGAAACTCACTTTCAGGTTCCATTTGCATTTTCCATTGGAATGGATCAGTTGCACCTTCTCTTGCTCTCAGCTGGTCAGCGTGTTTTCTCTTTATTTCTCCCCCAACTAAAACTGTGTATGATAGCCCTCTCGTCCTTTCTTGTACAATTACTGGTCTCCAGCCCTTCTTCGTTTCATTTTGAACCCACACTTCTTGTTTGATAGAAAACTCCTTTTGTTTGGATTTTAAGTCGTGATAGTACTTCTGTCGCCACACTTGATTCTCTATTCTCTCTCTGCTATTACTACTCCACATATCCAAAGCTGTTGGTATTCTTCTACCATAGAAAAGGACTGATGGTGGTTGTCCTGTGGTCTTTTGTGGCATTGTGGGGTGTTCCGATAAGCAAGCAACACTTGTAAAAGTGCAAGTGATGAACTGAGACCTTCTTGTTTGCAAGCACTGTATCTACTCTTGAACGTTCTGATAATCCTCTCTACTGAACCATTGTTTTTTGGATGATACGGTACCGATGTGACATGACATATGTTATTGTTCTTACAAAAAGTCTTAAACTTTTTGGACGTAAAGGGGGTGCCATTATCGGATACAATTTTTTTAGGAACGCCGTACCTCGAAAACCAAGTCCTTAATCTATTTACAAGAGCAGCAGTTGTTGTACGGTCCATTACTTCAATCTCGACCCATTTTGAGTAAGCATCGATTCCTACTAACCAGAATCGGTTGTCGAATGGGCCTGCGAAGTCGAGATGAATTCGCTCCCAAGGATATAGAGGTACTTCTGTGTCAAATGAGCGGTTACTCTGGCAAGGGTGGCATATACGGACATACAACTCAACATCCTTATTCAGATTATGCCACCAGACATAATACCTTGATAGGGACCTCATAGCCTCTATTCCAGGACGTCCTTTGTGGAGTTCTTTCAATACATTTTCTCTCAAAATCTGTGGCACCACAACTCTTCCTAATCGCATGATTATACCGTTTTCTAATGTCAGCTCTTCTCTCTTATTCCAATATGGTTTCATGGATGGTGGTAAATTTCCTGTATCTTTTGGCCAACCATGTTCCAGGTAGTCTATAAGTTTCTTCATATTTGGGTATTTCTTATACTCCAGTACAAGTTCATGATTTGGATAACTTTCTCTTGAACCAATGCTCGAATCTCTTTCTCATCTTGATCCAATACTTATTGTGTCTTGAGTGAAAACCGAGACAAAAAATCAGCCAAACAATTATCCTGTCCTTTGATGTACTGGATCTCAAAATCATACTCCATTAAATACAAAGCCCAACGAACCAAACGGTTGTTTACTACTTTGGTAAGACCTCGATGCATTTCGAATATTCTTTCAAGTGGCTTGTGGTCAGTCCACACCATGAAAGGCTCCCACTGAGGTATTGTCTATACTTCTTCACTGCAAAAACTAACGCCATCGCTTCCTTGTCAACTGTAGCATACCTTTTTTCCGTACGTGTTCTCGAGGCGTACATGACTGGCCTTTCCGTTCCATCCGGCATCAAATGTAACAGTACTACACCAACCCCTTGTTCACAAGCATCACATTCAACAATGATCGGCTTTGATATGTCGTTTGGGACTAATGTCTTCTCTAATGACAGGATATTCTTCAACTTGTCGAACACTTTTCATGTACGGTTTATGTAGAGGTCGTGTTTTGTTTACAATTTGTTTCCCGTTATTACAGCCATTTAAAACCTCGTTTAACCAAATAATTCGATCTAATCATAAAATCAATCAATTATATCAATTATTTAAGATGGGGACGCCACTATGTGCGTATTTTAACCCAAATATGAGTGAAGGATGAGTGTAGGATGAGTGGCGCGATCTTGTAGTCTTGTTAGTGACTAAGGCCGACATGTTCCTTAGACACAGCTGTTAATTAATAGCCCATACAGCTAATGGCAACTAAGGGACCTACAGTTTATAGTGGAATCCGAACCACATTTTTCCTTGTAATTTACGAATTGGTCTAATTATCAGGATAGTACTGCGGATAGTCGTAGTACTCACTAGTGCGGACGTTAATCCACACCAGTGAGCATCGCATCCACAGTGCATCCCTATAAATATCCACAATTCGTGACCTCCTAGTAGCTGGATTACAGGACGACGCCACCCGTCCCAGTCTTAAGAATTAAGATTGCCGACTACAGAACAATAACTTGTCCCCTAGTTATATAACCAAACAGTAAAGCACAAATCAAGAAATTAACCCTAAAATAACGGAAACAAAGTTTCATCGACACTAGCGCCTTTGTGCCACTTACATGAACTAGACACGAAAAACGTGCTTCAAAATTTACAATGGGACGAGAAGTCTACTTGTGTTGGTTAGTCTATGATAGTATCACCCATTGTCGCCAGTACGTTTACAAATTTCAGTCTTTATTTTAATAGCACCAAATAACCATTAACTACTTATTTTCTGCATTTAAGCTCTCTGTCACAATTTTACAATTAACATATGTTCTTCTTCTCACTTTTAATTTCTGACAACAGCTGGAGTTTCATAACAATATTTGTTTCCCTTGTTAATCTTATGGAGAAATATGAAACTTTAAAGGGCCCTAGGGCCTCACTCTCTAATTATTTCCCTAAAAAGAAAGTTTCCTGCACAACTTCACGTTACGCTCTTTCCAATGACACCAAAAACATGTCAATCGGTTCAGTAGTTTCGGAGGAGTAATTGTCA